GAGTGAGACCCTGGCTTTGGTTTCCAGCAGTACCACCAAACAAAGAAAAAAATAAAAACACACATGAAACTGGGCAACACCCAGGAGTCTTTCCAGGTTCCCTTGATACACTGAAATCCACTTCTGGGCTTTGAAAGGGACCTCATTTTGAGAAGTATTGCTGTCTTCTTGCACTATTGGTAGTGACTGGGAAGGCTGCTGTCTCTTACCAGGGGAAGAAATGGGGGAATTGGCTGGTTCTCTCCCTTAAAGCTCATTTCTTTGTTCCTCAGCCTTGTGCCTTCAGCCCTGAGCAGTTGACCCCAGGCTATTTCTGGCTCTGAACAGAATTGAAACAAACTTTTGTGGAAGCATATTTTGTAAGCTGTTGTTACTGGCTTTGTCTTCCTTATTTTTCTCCATAGAGTTGGGCTGCTCTGTTTTGTTTTGTGTTAACTCCTTTCTTCCATCACCAGTAGTAGCCTCTTGAATTCTGTCTCTGAACTTAACATGAGTTACTTTAAAATTTCTTCTCCAGTTCTTTATTATTAGGACTATTTTCATTTATAAGGGCCACAATTTTGCTCAAGGATTTGCTATCCTGAGAGTTTGAGACATCCTGCCTTTTTGAGTCTTAATATGCAAAATATTTTTTCTCCAAATGTGTAGAATTTGTCTTTTTTACCTTAGTGGAGGCATGATTAGCAGGTTGGGCTGAATAGTTTTTCTTGAAGGGCCATCTTGTGCAATACGGAATGTAGCATCCTGGCCACTGATAACTGCTGCCAGCGTGTGTTAGCTGGGGCTCTAGAGGATGTTGAGACACCTGTGTGGGATGGTGTCACAATGTTTAGCATATGTGTCATGGGCAGGGCTCAGGATGTCAAGTGCAGGGTTCTAACCTGGATGCTAGTGATATCCTGTTGAGAAGTCCTCTTATCTGATGTGGGGTGCTCATCATTCCCTGAATGATGCTCATCGGTACCTGAAGAAAATAGGGCATGTTTGTTTGTCTCAGTTTCTCATTTCTGCCTAATAATCAGTTCTTGTTGGCTAGAATTATGCAGAAGAGGTGACCTTTTTGTACCTGGGATGGCTTAACTTGGAAACAATGTAAATTAATAGTTTATCTGATAACACTGCTTTGGATTCCCTGTCTTCCCAGCTAACCTTATTAGAATTGACCTTTCTTCTCTAGCCTGCAGGTGTGTGGATTACTCCTACAGTAGTGTGACTTGTCTTACTTCATTCATCTGCTTGATATCAAAGCGCTGTTTGTAGTCTTCTTTGTGCCTATACCCACAGGTTTCGCCTTTGCCTTACGCAAGATAGTTTTTGTTTTGTTTTCTTTTTTTTGGTCTTTTTCGTTTTTATCGGTACCAGGGATCGAACTCACGACTGCCTGCTTGTAAGGCAGGCGCTTATGCCGCTGAGCTAAATCCCCAGCCCGCAAGATAGTTTTTCACTGCTTTGTTTCAATTAAGTCCATCTTGCTTTATATTTAAAATTCTTGTAAATATACCCTCTTATGTATATCAGCCATACTTCATGTTGTTAGAATATAGAGTTCGGAAGCCATAAAGTATATTTGTAGATAATTTTAAAATTAGTTTTTTTCTCAGTATTGGATATCTTTTCATTTGTTGTATCTTTTTTGGTTGCCTAGTTTTATAGAGCGTTCTGGGATTTTTTTTTTCTCTCTGTATTTGGTTTAAAGCATTTTGATAGTTAGGACTCAGGCCTTAGGAGACTTCATATCTTTTTTTTTTGTCTTTTTTGAGATGGGGTCTGGCTATGCAGTTCAGGCTGGCCTTGAGCTCACTTTGTAGCCCAGGCTGATCTCGAACTCGCAACGATCCTCCCACCTGAGCCTCCCGAGTGCTGGGATTACAGGCGTGAGCCACCATGTCAGGCTCAAGACTTGGTATCTTTTGTCCTTAGCCAAGAATCTTTTTTTTTTTTTTCCTTTGGTCTTTTTCGTTTTTATCGGTACCAGGGATCGAACTCACGACTGCCTGCTTGCAAGGCAGGCGCTTATGCCACTGAGCTAAATCCCCAGCCCCTTTTTTAAAAATTTTTGAGGCAAAAATCTCACTATCTTGTTTAGGCTGATCTTGAACTTACAGCAGTCCTAGTGCCTCATTCTCTCCCAGGTGCTGTGATTATGATGTGTACCACTATATCTGGCTCTCATTAGCTGCAAATCCTATTGTAGTGTCTTGAGCCAAGGGCTAGAAAGCTGAAATATAGCTTTGTACTTTTTTTTTTGTCTTTTTCGTTTTTATCGGTACCAGGGATCGAACTCACGACTGCACACTTGCAAGGCAGGCGCTTATGCCGCTGAGCTAAATCCCCAGCCCCCAGCTTTGCAACTCTTTGCAGGGGAATCTTTATGATCTGAAGCCCACCCCCACCCTCATCTCACCACTCACTTCCTAGCCACTCACTAACCCAGCCATTCAGCAGATGTTTGAGCCTCACCATTGTTGTAGAATTTCCAAAAAACTGGAGAGACCAGGAGGGGTTTTCAAGAGGAATCTTTAACAGTGCACTGGCCCAGCCACTAGAAATGCTCAAATTCAGACTGGCCCCCAACCAAAGAGAGTCCCCTTTTATACAGATTGTGGCATAAGCAAGTGGAAATAGAGAAACAAAACAATGGCAGTTAGTCATCTAGGCAACTAACCCTATCTTAGCCTTGAAAAGAAAACATATCCTGTGCATCTCAGGATGTTAGGATGCTGTGAAATGTGTTTATAATTCCATTTGTTAGCTTTATCTGTGATATGAGGTACACAGTATTGCCCCTCAGAGGAAGGAGATTCTCTTGAGAGAACTGCTTGAAGTGTCTCCCTTATCAGTGAGAAAAGCATAGGACCACAGTGACAAGTCCACATTCCTGAGAGGGATTGCCCAAGCAGTTGCTTGCCTAGAGCTAGCAAGATTTTAGAGAAAGAGGAAGGACAAGTTTTTCTCTCCAGTTTTGCTTTACCCTAAGCTAATGGAGCTGACATTCTGTTTGGGATATGTGGTGAGGTATGAGGCCTTTTCCCTTTCCTGAATTTATTCATATTTTATACTCTGCAGGGCAGCATTTGTATTGAGTCTTGGGTATTAGTAGGAGTACTAGATGGCAGACAGCTGGTTGGAATGTTCTCTTAGGCACCACGATTTTGAGCCAGGTCACCTCATTCTCTGCTGCAGGAGATTGCAAGTCCTGATACTAGTATTAGCTGTTTCTTAGAAATAGACCCAGCCCTCATTTGGCAATGCTTTTCCTTTCTTATGCTGCTTAGTAAGTAACCCCATGTTCACATCCATCCACACCTGCTTGACTTGAATTTCTTGGACTGGACTCAGGTCCAGATGATCGTAGCCAGCACCTGGGATTGACCAGCAGTGATCACCCTGTGGGAAGATACTCCTTGCAGTTGACTGACATGAATTTCCTGTTCTGTGCATTTCTTTAGTTTTACTGTCTCTGGATCAGATTCTTGCATACCCACACATATATACCCCTGCTTAGAACCTGTAACACTGCCTCTAGTTTCCCTTTTCTCAAAAATTGTTTCTTCTGTTCAGTGTTGCCCCATGTACCTTATAAATTACAGTGGTGTGATGGAAATGTGGTGTGCAGAGGAATATTTGGTTTGATGCTGTGGCCAGTAGGACAGCCTTTGTGCCATGGCTTTACACATAGAGGGGCCTTCCTCTTTCTAGAGCAGTGATAGTGAACCTTTTAGAGAGAGTGCCTAAACCAATTCAGAACCCACTTAGTTATTGCAAAGTGTTAACACTGCAGTTAAACCTGAATAGCGGAGGTTTTAGTTTAAAAAAAAAGACTGTTATCTGATGCTCAGCTGCTAGGAGTGACTTGGCCTGTGGGCTGTCAAGAGAGGGCTCTCTATGTACCTGCTGTAGTATCCCTGCATCATCACTGCTCTAGAGGGTGTGTGAGGAGGCCCAGAGGGGAAGCAGCCTGGCTGAGGGGGCAAGGCTCAGTGGGGTTAGTGCTTGAGTTGCAGAAGAGAACACACAGGGGGAGGGGTTTCTGTGCCATGCCATTAGTTGGGAGTGACATTCCAGATATCAGCACATGGAAGAACGTTGGCTATATGATGTGTGTGTACCTTGTATGTGACCCCAGCCAGACATTCACCTGAGGTGCTGGGAAGACAATGGGAAATACCAGGCTGGTGTCTGTGGTAGACAATTCTAAAGATGTCTCGGGCAGGATCTTAGAGTAATTAATCATGGTGATTGTGCTTTCTGGGTGAAATGGCATTTCATTGACTATTTACATATACCATAATGACCTCTTGTTTGTAAGGATTCTTGTTGCTTACAATGTGGTTTCCCCTTCATTGTGTGCATTTCTGCAGACAATGTATTTCTTATCACCCTTGTTTGGCAGCTGAGGAAACTGAGGCTCACTGAAGGTTTTGTATCCCCTCCTACTACTAGACTGGTTGGTTGTTTTCTTTGCTTGTGTTAATACTGGGGTGGAGCCCTGAAGTCACAGCTCACAGCACTGGGTAGGAAAGTTGGTGGGTGTCCAGTTGCCTTTGGTTGACTGCTAGCCAGTTTTATTCGTCTTTATATTTTCAATGTCCAGTGCATAGTCAGCACTTAATAAATCTCTATTGGAAGAAGCCAGATCTGTAGCACCTTAGGCTAATCACTACCACATGTCTGCTATGTGTAGGGAACATGCCTATTTAAACTGGCATGAGGACTAACCATAGAGAGAAATTGATATATCTATGGAAGCATGATCCCTCCCATCATGTGCAGCGGGTTACTGAGGTGGGAATTTGTCTTGGTCTGGGGCAGATAGAGGCAATGACCTCACAGAATTTCCTTGGTTCCATGCTTCTTTAACCAAACCAGGCATGGTCAAGTCTTCACTCATTGATGTCATTGATGGTTGTGACCTGGTTTAATCTGAGGGAGTCAGGAGGGATCTTACTATGTGGTGGTTTCCCCAATTTGACACCCCTTTATGCTTTGTTAATCAACAGGAGCTTGAAGAGATCCGCAAATGTGGAATGAAAAACTTCCGTAACATCCAGGTTGATGAAGCTAATTTATTGACTTGGCAAGGGCTTATTGTTCCTGTGAGTATTGAACACTTCCACCTCTTATCAGATTGTCCTTTCAGGTGATGTGTGCTGTTGGGTTTATCTGTGAGCTCCTAAGTAGACTTGTGGTTGGGGCAGCCCACAGATGTATAGAAGTGGGTTGTGGCTCCAGGGTGACAGGTAGGGTAGGGCATGGCCTTGCAGAATTATGGCTTTGCATTTGGTTTTCTAGAATTCTGGGGATCCCAAATTTTACACAGGGAAAAGTAGTATGTTTCTGGGTGCCTGACCGTATTTATCAGGACAAAATTTCCTTCTCTGGCATCTCTTGGGAGAAGGCTAGCATTCCTGTGTAGATCTCCCCCACCCACCCTTCCAGGTTTTATATCTTGACATTCTTGTGTGATTGTTCTTTTTGCCAGTTTTTCCACATCCACCCATCTTCTTTCTTTTGCTGCTTTGCCCATCTGGTCCTTAGGTCCTTTCTCTGTGCCTGATGCTTTCCTGCCATTAACAAGTGTAATTTATTTATTATTATTTTTTTTTTTTTGTCTTTTTCGTTTTTATCGGTACCAGGGATCGAACTCATGACCGCACACTTGCAAAGCAGGTGCTTATGCCGCTGAGCTAAGTCCCCAGCCCCAAGTGTAATTTATTTCTTTAAAGTCCTTGAAAGCTGAACAACAAATATTGGATTTAGAGCTTATTTTTGCAGTTATTTGGATATCTAAGGAGAACAAACTCAGTTTTTTGTTTGTTTGTTTGTTTAATCTAGGAGTTTCCAATCTGGTTTTCAAGATGAGTCCTTGGATTTCTGTAGGCTTGAAAATAACAGGGCTTGAGGCTCAGGATAAATGAACATGAAGCTACTGGCTAGGAGGAGCTGGCCTGTGACTGCAACCCCAACTGCCACGGTAGCCTGTTAGGTGTTGAAGAGGACATCTCAGATCATATGATTACCTGTCCATTTTTATTTTGTGTTCTTGAGATAGTGTCTCATTATGTGGCTCAGGCTGGCTTTGAGCTTTCAGAGTAACGACACTCACTTCCCAATTCAGACTACCCTCTTCTCTTCTCAGTCCCCTCTTCCTTCCCGTAATCATTGCCCAGGCACATTGTGTTGGTATTATGTTCCAAGAAAGCATTTCTTTCTGCCCTAGAGCGGTTAGCATTCTTGGCAGCTGACCTCTCCTGGGTGTATACTTGTACTGATACCTGGGCTTCAAGTCTTGCTGCATCGTAGGGGCTGGGCCATCATGGGATCCTTCTATCCACCCCCATTCTAGATCTACCCAGTTGAGGTGAAAACAGCCAGCTGTCCTTTGCTTTACAGCAGGCTATTGGTCCTTAGTAAGGAATAGCTGAGTAAATGGTTTGGCTGTAGGAGAGAGACAATGAGAGAGGGAGGAAGAAAGGTAGGCAGATTGAGAGCTGCTTCTTAGAAATACTGTGTTTTTACCGTGGAAGTTCAGGTTTTTAATTCTGTGTGTGGGGTGGGGGGTTGGGGGGCTACTAGGGAGTGGACTCAGGGCCTTCACACCGATCTATATCCCCATCCCTTTTTTTTTGAGACAGGGTCTTGTGAAGTTGCCCAGCTGGGCATGAATTTAAGGTTCTATTGCCTCCTCAGTCTCTTGGTGCTGGGATTACATGCATATACCACCACACATCTTCAACAGGTTTATTCTGTTCTATTTTATTTTTTTGTCTTTGAGACAGAGTCTCATTATGTACTTTAGACTGGCCTTGAGCTTACTTTGTAGGTGGTCTTGACCTTGCAAGGACCGTCCTGCTTCAGCTTCCCGAGTGCTGGTATTGTAGGCGTGTGCCACCATGCCCAGCTGATTTGTTCCCTTTAAATGTTTCTTTTTCTGTAAACTTTTTTTCATCTGAAATTCAAAGGTGAAATCTAAAGAAAAAAGTATTATAATCCATCATCAATAAATTGAGTAAGTTTCGAGGCACTATGCTTTAGAAGTAGGGATAGGAGGGTGAACCTATCTGAAATTTCTGGCCTGGTGAATGTTTTCATTCTTAATCTTTGGCATAGTTCCTCCCAGCCTTGCTTTTTTTGGAGGGTGGGGTACTGTGGATTAAACCTTGGGCCCTTGTATAGAGCTACAGCCTCAGCCCTTTTTATTTTATTTTATTTTATTAACTAATTTATTTATTTATTTACTTTTGTCTTTTTGAGACAGGGTCTGCAGTTTAGGCTGGCCATGTGCTCACTTTGTAGCCCAGGCTGGTCTCAAACTCACAGTGATCCTCTAGCTTCAGCTTCAGCCTCAGCCTCCTGAGGGCTGGGATTACAGGCTTATGCCACCACATCTGGTTTTGTTTTGTTTTTTAAAGTTTGTATTTTGAGACAGGGCCTTGTTAAATTGTCCAGGCTTACCTTAAATTTGGATTCTCCTGTCTTAGTCTCCTAAATTGCTAGCCTGGGGCCATTGTGTTTGGCCTTCCTAATCTTCTTTAATGTATTTATTTATGTATTTATTTTTGTGATACTGGATGTTGTCCCCAAGGCCTTGGTCTTGAAACTAAGCTCAGGGCCCCCTCACCCTGAGTCTTACTAAACTGATATGTTTCTCAGATTAGACTCATATTTGCACTCCTCCTGCTTCAATTTCCTAGAATGCTGGGATTATAAGTGTACACCAGAAAGCCCAGCATATGTAGGTTTGTTTGTTTGTTTTTCTTCCTCCTTGGCTTTTTGAGGTAAGATCTCAATTCAGGCTGGCTTTGAGCTCACTTTGTAGCCCAGTCTGGTCTCAAACTCACAAGATCTTCCTGCTTCAGCCTCATGAGTGCTGGGAATACAGGTGTATGCCAACACACCTGGCTCAGCTCACGCAGTTTTTAGTAAACTATTTCATAATTGTTTTATTCTTTCATAATTTATTGTCTTGAAAAACTTTGGGAGCACGTTCAATGACTGTGTCCCATGACATGATCATTTATTTTTATTTTTTATTTTTTTTTATTTAAGAGGAAAAAGAGAAAAACACAAAACAAAACAAAGCAGTGTAAGGTTACACATAATACAGAACTACAAAAAAAAAAAACATAACAGTAAGAAATCACCTGTTAATAGATTACATATTATCATCTTGGAAATAGTTGCTCAAATCACAGTATCAAAGAATACAAAGTAGACATTCATACAGAGAGACTGCAAACAGCTGTGTTCAATGATCCAAAAACATTAATATAGTCAGCTATTTAACACCCCTAAACACACTTGCTGTTATATCCGTTAGAGCTCTTTTTTTTTTCCTCCCTCTCTTTTTTACAACAAAATTTACTACATGATCATTTATTTAATCATTTATTTAATCATTTATTTTATCATTTATTTTAAACTTCAATTTTTTTTTTTTTTTTTTTGCATTTTTGCTTTTTTCCGATACTGGGGATCGAACTCACAACCTAGTGCTTGCCAGGCAAGTGCTTATGCTGCTGAGCTAAGTCCCCAGCCCCTAAACTTTGATTATTTTTAAGATGAAAATGTTATTTATTTTAGATTTTGATCTTAAAATAATGTTCTGACCATGTAAATTTGTATATAAGGAATAAACCATCTGTTTATATATTAAATCAAGTTATTTTCCAGAAAAATTTTAGCAGTGTTGATATTGTGGACTCTTATACAAGTGCCCATATGTGCTTATTGTCATTGAGGTTGGACATTTTATTTATTTGGCTTCAGTTCTAGGTTTTTCTTTTGGAGATGGTCTCAATATGAGATTCAGGCTGGCTTTGAATTTGCCATGATCCTCCTGCCTCAGTCCAAAGTGCTAAGCTTATAGGCATGTACCACCACGCTTGGCTTTTATTTGTTTTTTTAACACAAGGTCTCACCATATACTTGAGCCTGGCCTCAAATGCCATCCTCTTTTCAGCCTCCCAGTGCTGAGATTAATTCACTTTTTTTTTTTTTTTTTTTGGTATCAGGAATCAAACTTATGACTTGGCCCTTGCCAGGCAGTCCCTGTGCCACTGAGCTATATTCCTGGCCCTTACTGGGACTACAGGTGTGTGCCACCATACTTGGCAATGCCTGGCAAGGCTGGCGATTTTATAAGGGGATTCTGAGTAGCAGGTACTTCAGAGGCCAGGCTGTGGGGTCTGACTCCCAAAGGTATGAATCCCAACTCTGCCCACTTGTGGCCTGGGGATCTTGGAGAAGTTAAGCAATTGCTTCTAGTCTTCTCACCTTTGTAATAGGAATGTGCTTAGCCTGTAATTAGCACTGTGGGAAGGGGAGGCAATCTAAGTTTTAGCTGGTTGATTAACAGTTCAGTAATACCTCCCTCCCAAAAATAAATAAATAAATAAATAACAAACATAGTAAAGTCATTGTTGCCTATATGATTTGCATTTCTAGTTTTATTATTTTGGTTGACTTTTTCACTTATTGTTTTTATTTCTAGAGTCTCATCAGATTTTTAGTATGGTACTTTGTTGAATTGTAAGAATTCTGTATATTAATCCTTTATGTCAAGGGAAAATGTTTTTCAGCCTGCTGTTTTCTTTTTTAAGGTTTTTGAGGGGAGGGTTGGTGTCAGTATTTTGTTTTTTGTTCTTGTTCTTTTTCCTTTTTCCTTTTTTTTCTCTTTCTCCCTCTCTCTTTTTCCTTTTCCTTTTCTTTTGAGACAGGATCTTGCTATATAGTCCATGCTGAATTTGAACTTATTATGTAGCCCAGGCTAGCCTCCAATTTGCAGCAATCTTCCTGCCTCTGCCTCCTGAGTGCTGGGATTACAAATGTATGCCTTTATGCCCAGCTTGATTTCTTTATGTTGGCCATTTCTTATAGAGTATAATGCTGTTTTTTCAAATTAGAAGTATCTTACTAGTTTTTGTTCAGTGCATTTGCTCAGGCTGACCTCAACTTTGATTCTTCTGTCCCAGACTCCCAGATAATTGGGATTATAGGTCTCTGCCACCATACTTGACTCCTACTTTAGTTTTGAAATGCATTTTCTTTTCTTCTGTCTTTTTGAGGCAGGGTCTCACCAGACTGGCCTTGAACT